GAACTGCCCCATGGCTGATGGGGGAGAGCAGGGATCTTCATGGCCTCTTTGTTTTTATGCCAAGGCTGGACATCTTCCAAACCAATCCAGAATTTGGATCAGAACGCTTCCAAAGTCAGGGAAGACCCTGGATCGATTTGAGGGAAGCAGCCAGGGCACTGCGGTTCAACCTCTTTGTCTACTTTACAGCTTCAACTTCCCGAATGCTGGCTGGGGAATTCTGGAAGTTGAAGTCCACTAGTCATAAAATTGCCAAGGCTAACTTCCATGCCATATGGGTTAATATGGGTGATTAGAAAGCATTTTGAAACCACTAACCAAATATGAATCTTCGTAAGCCTGGGGTACCAAGGAGTCCTTCCTTCGAATGCCTCATTATTTAAAAAAGCAAAAGGCCGTAGGGAAAATTATGGTGGTCAAAGCTATCTGGAGTTTTTCAGGATTGGGATGGTCCATTCAGTCTTCTATTCCTGATCATCAGCAATAAGGAATGGACAGATTTCTAGCTGGACTTCACCTCCACTTCCTGGAGATCCAGCTCTGAAGCAATTGAGAAGGACAAAGGGATCCATTTTCAGAGGAACCGTTTCTGATAGATTCCTACAGAACCCACAGGAGTCCTGGTCTCCCTAAGGACGAAGGGAGAAACCCACCGTTTTAAATCACGGCCTTGACTCATAATTCATTGATCTGCTTTCCCGACAGAAATGACCTTGCTGGTGATTGTCCTGTGGGGCAGCCAGGGAATGCCAACTACACCCCCACCACAGCAAGATTTTCGGGGGTTGAGCGAACTGTACTGTAAAGCAGATGCGCTACTTCAAGACTATAAATCTGTAAGTATGCTGGACCGATGCCCCCTGCCCTGGTGGACTATTAGAAGTGGAGACCCTAAACCCTAGGCAGATTCCTCCTTCCCGCTTAGCAAGCCAAACCGAGATGTCTGTCTTTCCATCCGTCTCTTTCTCGTGCAAGCCCAGAGCTCCTTAGTTTGTAAGAGTGGCTTTCAGACATTAACCATCAGAATCAGTCGGGAGGGACCTTATAAAGGTCTTCTAGTCCAACACCCAGCTGAAGCAGGAGAGTCTATAACATTTCAGACAAGTGACTGTCCAGTCTCTTCTTAAAAACCTCCAGTGTTGGAGCACCCACAACTTCTAGTGGCAAGCTGTTCCACTTGTTAATTGTCCTCATTGTTAGGTTTCTCTTTAATTCCAGGTTGCTTCTCTCCTTGATTAGTTTCCATCATTTTGTCCTGCCTTCTGATGCTTGGAAAATAAGGTGACCCCCTCCTCTTTGTGACAGCCCCTCAAATATACTGGAATTCTGCTATCATGTCACCCCTAGCCTTTCTTTTCTTGAGACTGTCCAAATGCAATTCCTGCAACCATCCTTCGTATGTTTTAGTCTCCAGACCTTTGATCGTCTTAGTTGCTCTTCTCTGAACTTTTTCCAAAATCTCACTTCTTTCTAGTTTGGTTCAGGGGACAGACAGAAAGCCCAGGGGAACATCTGGGGAGACAATTCCTTAGAAGCCACTTTACTCAGAAGGACAATAAAATGTAGGCTGCCGTTGGGTGGGAAGCCAACTTTAACCGATGCAAATCTTTGCTTCCATTTCTGTAGGTCGACAAGAAACATTTGTCTTCTGAAGCGAGGACAAAAATGGAAACGGAGTTTTCCCAAGCCAGCTGCAATTTCACCAAATTGGCAGAAGAATGTCAAATCATCTGTGAGTTCAAAGAGCTGTTTGTCTGGCTGAAGGACATCCATCAGCAAGACGGACTGTTGAAACCTGTGATGGGCTCCTTCACCTTGCTGATTGAGCTTCAGAATAACTATGCGAATCACACCTGCCCGGAAAGAGCACCAGACAAAGCGCCAGAGTTCAACTGTCCCAAGTACAGCGAAGAGGACAAAGGGCCCTCAAGAGAGAACATGTTTCACTACATTTTTGAACTATATAAAACTCTCATGCACAAACTTCTGAGTTCAAAATTAAAGCTAGAACAGGATAACCCCATTGAAGTGTGTAAAGCTAAGGGGGATTAAAAACCTGCACCTGGATTTTACTAGATTAAGGAATGTAATTTATTATATTTATGCTATTTTTATATATTTATAACTTTACATAATTTATATTAAATTAAATCATAGTTAATATATTATAAATTAAATCATAGTTATTAATATTCATTTAATATTTATTAGAGAAACAGTTCCATTGGTTCCACAGAGAAACCAGTTATTTTATTATATTTAAATCTATTTAAAATGTTTGGATGATCAACTGAAGGAATGTATTCTTGAGTGGGAGTATTTTAATTTAAGGAAAGCTGTTAAGGTGCTACTGAAGATTAAGTTTACTGTTTTCAATTAACATGTGTTACTTCTAAGTGAATCATGTCTTAAAAGCAAAAACGGTATCTATATGTAATAAATAAACTTCTATACAAAAACAGAATGCTTCCTTCTTGCAGTTTGAAGACAGTATTTCAGTTATTTTATTTCTGCCTTCCAGGGTTTTAGTTATTCTCGTCAATTAAGATGCCAAACCATTTCAAATTGGATTCTGGGTTTAAATTCCACCTTCTTGAAAATCATTCTAGAAGCTTGGAACCCACTACTAATTCCCCCATGAAGTTTGATGAGCGAAAATAAAAATTACAACTTGTAATGGAGCCCCAATTTCCGTGGCTAAGCTGCAAAGAGACAATAAGTCACACACAGTGCTGTTGTACACTCTGAACATTCACTAAACAAACATGTTCTGACCAAGGCTTCCGAGACTGTAATTACGCACATGCTTATTTTAAAAACAAGCCTTCTTTTATTGCAAACACTGGGAATTATTTGCATTCCCAGCCGGGAATGAATCTCACACAGTCCCTCGAGATAAGCACCCACCTTTCTTTCCTGTGAAGCGCTGCCAAATACAGAAGTATCCAATTAACTATAAAAGAAACCAACCAAAGTACAAGAAAAAAAACCAACCAAAGTACACAGAGCTTCAAGGAAGACTCGGAACCAATCGAACGACTTTGCTTCCTGCAATCTAGCCCTGACTTTTATCCCTTGTGGGAGGGGCAATCACCTCCCAGCCTTACTCCAGAGTTGCCCCTTCTGCTTCAGCTGCTCTCGCCTTCTAGCAGCTCTGTGCACATGCGCATTGGGAACAGGCTCCCTTTGTTCTTCTGCCTTGCTGCTCCCAGACTCCGGAGGCTCTGGAGTTAGCGCACAACTCCCAGATGGTCTTGGCCCCATCTCTTCATCGGATGCAAGACCCCCGATCCTCTCCAGACTCCCTGACTGGTCCCCTTTCTTCCCCACTCTCCAATTCCACTGCCATCTGTGCAGGCTTGCCAGCGAACCACAACAGAACAGTCGTAAGTCAAGGAATACCCGTAAGGGAAGAACATCCAGATAAGTGACTTTTAGCAACTCACAATCGAGGGCGAGGTAGAGTTCTGCCCACAGGTATCTCATGCCATTCTTGCTGTCAAAAATCATGCCAACGGGTCCAGTTTTACAAATTACATCTCCCGTGTATTTCAGATCCTAAAAGATTTCATCCAAAGATTTTATCTGCCCAGCCCAAGTTTACTTACGAGTCTCCAGAGAAGGAAAAGGAACTTTCAAGGTCTCTGGACAAGCCATTTTCATAACCCACCTGGCAATTAAGACCAGAGGACTCTGCAACAACATGCCACGGGGGTCCATCAAGCGTGGATCTTATGTGAATCTTACAAGGCTGAGAAATTAGGCAGCCGGCAGGGTTACACACCTCGCAGGCTCGGCGCATCTCAACCACACTGAGTTGTCTTCTTGCAACTTCTGAAACCTTTGAGCTGATCTAAACAGGATGTGTTTGTCTACCACATGAACGCGAGAAAGTTCACAGGGTCTCCAAAATCTCTCTTTTAGAATCCTGGTGGAAGGCCCAAAAAAATAACATGGCTTAAAAAAAAATGTTGGAGAAAAAATTTGGGACTTTGTTACTATATATGTTGACGGTAGCAAAGACAATTGCACACGCAAAATTGGAAGGTCCCTTCGATTCCTACCATGGAAGAATGGTTGGAGTGGATGGAGTTGGTGGAAATGGCAAAATTGACCGTTTTGATTTAAAGAAAAGAACAGAAATACTTTTGTTTCCACATGGAGGCCGCTTCTGAACCTCGTGCTCGAAGTGGAAAAGAATGAAACTTTGATTTTAGATTTTACAGATTAGACGGATAGATCTTTACAGAAATGCCTCGTTCATACTATGACGAAAAAGCATAAAGCTGTGATTTGGTGCTAATGCCTTGTTTTACTGCAGGGGTCTTCAAACTTGACAGCTTTAAGCCTTGTGGGCTTCAACTCCCAGAATTCCTCCTCCTCCAGTCATGTTAGCTCAGGAATTCTGGGAATTGAAGTCCACAAGTCTTAAACTTGCCCAGATTGAAGACCCTTGTACTAGGCCAACAATCAAGCAGTTAAAACCAAGGGTCTTCAAACTTGGCATGTTTTAAGACTTGTGGACTTCAATTCCCAGAATTCCTGAGCTAACATGACTGGAGGAGGAATTCTGGGAGTTGAAGTCCACAAGTCTTAAAGGTGTCAAGTTTTGAAGTCCCTTGTTTTACTGCAACGGAGTGGGAAGTCAATGCTTCATTTTCTTTCCCCCCGCCCCCATCTTTCCTCACTTCTCTTCCCCCTTCCCCCTCCTACTGCTTTTCTAATTACTTTTCTATGTTGTATCTTACAATACTCTATAACTCAATAAACAATGTTTTAAAAAAACTGTGTGAGGGGAAATGGCTCAGGCGTGAAAGCGCCCCGACTTTCCCACCTCGGGGGTGGCTTGCATGGAAGATGGCCCCAGGTGTTTCTGCAGCTGGGTTCCAAACCTTGGACACTTCTGAACCTGATCGACTAGAATTCTAAGGCAGGTGAGCTGATGGGGGGAAAAAAGTCACGCTTAAAGCTTGGAAGAAAACCACTCTTTTCTCTTCAAAAATAGCATTTTATTTCTGCTGTCTCATAAAAAAAACCAAAAACGCAGTGACATTATCGAAAAATCGAAACGCAAGCAATTGCCACAGTTTCATGCATGATAAATGTAGATAACAAGGCAGCGGCTTAACTCTGCAGCCTCCCCAAAAAGTCGACTGGTAAAACGAGGAAGAAACAAATACATATTCGTTACACAAACTTCATCTTTTTTTTTCTTTGCTTGCAAATGGGAGTACAGACTGTCCAGACGATGATTTCAAGACACAATGCAAGTAAAACTATCTCCCCAGAGGCTAAAAGTCCTGATTGCATTGCTAAAAAGAAATGCATTTTTTTTTTGGCTAACTGTTGTAGATTAAAATCAACCGCAAACCCCCACAGAACAATATTGAAACTGCATTAGCAATAACTTTACAAAGCTGTTCCAAAACACGCCCAGTTATCACCTCTCTTGTGTTCCCTCCAGGCGATCAAAATGATTGTGGAGTTTGTAGTAGAAGAGAGAAGAGGTGAAGTTGAGCCAAGGCAAGGCTACCCGGATGCAGCTTTCAATTCCCAGAATTCCCCAGCCAGCATGGATGGACTTCAACTGCCAGAATTCTCCAGCTGCTTAGTGGACTTTAACTCCCAGAATTCAACAGCCAGCATGGCCGACTGGAGAAATCTGGGAATTGGAAGTCCGTCCATCTTAAAGCTCCCAAGGCCAAGAAAGACTGTTCTAGATAGCGGTAGAGTTGTCCAGATGAACTGGTTATAAGGTAGAACATTGTTCTCCCTTGGTGCCTGGAGATGGGGTGGACTTTGGTTCAACTGAGGGCCATTTCTGAGCTTGAATCAAGATGCCCCTTTTCAACAGTTGTGATCTGAAGGACATCAGAGCCCGCCGTTTATCGTGCTTTGAGAGAACCATCTCATCTAACCCAGATGATCTCTGCCTCCATAAAGTTCAGAAGTCTGGGTCAACGGCATCCCTCAAGTGCTATCAAGATTTGTTTACCCATCCTGTTCTACTCTGTGGATGGAAAGTCACTGTGGTTGATCCCTCAAGGCTGGTAGAACGTATCGTATGGAGTGGTTGACGTAGGACATCTTCCTTACTTGAAGCCAAAACTCAAGAACTTCTGATGGGACAATCCCGGTGGGAAATTCAGAACCGCTTCTTTGAAGGCCACTTTCCAAGATTTTGTGGGGATCACATACACATACAAAGAAGCGAGACTGGAGATGTGAAGAGAGGACATTTCCACGAGGTGTCCTCCTCGTGAGCTTCCAAGAGACACTGGGATGGCTACCGCAGGAAGACGACCCCGGACGAGAGATCTTGGCTAGAATTCAACCTTGTTGTCTTATGTTCTTAAGCTGACGATCCGTTTTTGTTCTTCTCCTGCACTTTCCAATTATTATTCTTCCCCAAAGAAGGGGGAAAATTGCATTGTTGTGTGCAAAAGTACAGCCATGGAAACAAGCTCCACTAGAAAGCCTGAGACAATTGGGCATTTCTAAGGCAGACGGGACCCTCCCCTAAGACCCTGGATTATGGGGAGGGGGCTGAGTCCAAAGTTGAGTCAAGACTCAAGAGCCCAAGAGTTGAGTCGAAGAGCAAACAGTCTCTTCTGCTGCCAAGTTTCTGATGAACCATTATTGTCTAAGAGGAGGGGGGGGGAAATTGATCGCTATTACGGGTATCATGGTTAAAAATACGGGAGATAATAATCATGTGTTTTTGTCCTTTTTTTTAATTCACATTTTTTTCCTCAACGATTTTGTTCAGTTTTGTTTTGCCGCTCTTCAATTTTTTTTTTCTTTTGGATTTTAATCTTTTGAATAAAATAAAATAGTTAAATTAAAATAGACCTCTCTCTCTCTACCCCACTTCTATCGATCGACTAGAATTTCTTCTGTAGACCTCAAGTCTTGGGGTGGAGTTTGCGGGGAGAACAGAGAGGGAATTTTCCTTTAGGTAAGCAGCCGCCTCCATTCTGTCACCAAAATTCTCTTTCCAAAATTGCCTGCCCATTCTCAAGGGTGTTTGCCCTGCCCAACATCTGGCAGGCTCAGCGTTCTTCAGATCCCGGCTTCCATCTCAGTTAAGCCAGGAGATATCTTGGCCTTGAGTCAACCTTGAGCCTTGTCAGGATCGAACTCCAGGCTGTGGGCAGAGTTTTGCCCGCAACGCTGCGTTCTAAACCCACCGCACGCCCCTTGCAACGGAGGTCAGCATGGAGAAAAAGCTTATTCCTACTGCGTATATTCAGAGAGGTTGCATGGAAGGGGGGCATCTATTGCTGGAAAGTTTCCCTGAGTTGCATTTTTCACATATTCGACCAAACCCAAAGGTGGTGTTGGGGGAACCCTCAACTTTCTGTCCTCCCCCGTTGGATGCCTTCTTGTCTCTGAGGGTGGTGTCAACACAAGGAAGCTTGCAAGGCCTCCTTCTACAGCGGGGTGCCCTCCACTTTGGTGGGGGGGAGATGGGGAAGCGAATCCTTGTATTCTCAGCCAGCAGGTGGGCCGGGAACGCCCGGCGAAGGTGGTTCCTACACCTCTGGAGGAAGCCCCCAACTGGAGGAGATGACAAAGGTCTGTATGGAGGCAGGGATGGCCCGCTGTGGTTGGCAGCATCTCCTCCTACGTTTCTCCAGATGCTTTGTGGAGTTTGCCCAAGGCCTGGCTGGCTTGCTCTTGCAAGAGGGACGGATCGGAGAGAATGGAGGTTGTAGTGCTTAGGTGCCGGAGACTGTTCAGAACCACTAGGGAGAAAGAAGGACGCAAAACAAGCCAACCGGCCCAGTTAGTTACCATGGCAATCCAGAGAGACAACTGACAAGGCCTCGCGATCAACTCAACTTACTGGGCCTCAGGACAGGGAGCGAGCAGTGCTTGTCCAGCCATAAGAAGGCTGTCCGGTTCAGCTCCTGCAGGCTGGTGGTGGACACCATCTCGTTGAAGGTTTCAAACAGAGGCTCAATGATGACGCTGAACTGCAGGAAAACTAGGGGTCAAGGCGCAAACGGAACAGAGGTTGGGATTTCCAGGCAGTCAGTCGAGGGGCTGGAACGCAGGGAAGCTCCCGGGAAACGGGGGAGGTTAAATCAAGGCAAAAAGCCCTACCAGCTTTATTGGCTTATGAAGTTTCTGGGCCTTCTCAACCTTCTCCAGAACTATCGGAAGTTGGAGAGCAACTTCAAGTCAACCAAAAACGCCAACGGGGGTGTGTGTGTGTGTGTGTGTGTGTGTGTCTACAGAAATTACTATTTTTCCAGTTCCACCCATTTCATCCTTCCTTTCTTCCATCCATCCATTTTATCCATCCTTCCATGTCATCTTTACTTCCATCCTTCCATCCTTCCATTTCATCCTTCCTTCCTTCCATTTCATCCTTCCTTCCTTCCTTCCTTCCTTCCTTCCACCCATTACATCCATCCTTCCATTTCATCCTTCCTTCCTTTCATTACACCCATCCTTCCGTTTCGTCCTTCCTTCCTTTCCTTCTTTCCATTACATCCTTCCACCCATTACATCCATCCTTTCATTTCATCCTTCCCTTCCCTTCCTTCCATTTCATCCTTCCTTCCTTTCCTTCTTTCCATTACATCCTTCCACCCATTACATCCATCCTTTCATTTCATCCTTTCTTCCTTCCTTCCTTCCTTCCTTCCTTCCTTCCTTCCACCCACTCATTCTTCCTTCCTTCCACCCATCCAACCTGAACTGCTCCGAATCCCATTTTCCCCCCCATTCTAAAAAAGTCTTCAGGCCTCTCAGAATGAAACCTGTAAAATCCACGGCTTAAAATCCACAGCAAGGATCCAGCCAGCTTTAAAAATGGATTTAAAAAGGACACTAGGAAAGCTATAGGTTGACAAGGCGGGCGCCACGGCCGAGCCCAATAAAGATTCCAGGTTCAGGAGCAGTCTACCTTCCGAAAGGACCAGTCCTCACCCCTTCCCACTTCCCCTGTGGCAACTCGACGGGCTCTCCCCCTCCCTTGACAAAAATTACACCCCACTTCTCTTCTTCCTCTGGGCCTCCCCTGGTTTCACCCACACACCCCAAAGCAGGATACAATCCAGAACTTCAAGTTTTGCTGGCTGCGGTTTCGGACATACTCTTCGAACTTGCTCCTCATTTGGTCAAAGCGCTGCCTGGTGATGGGGACCCCCGTGGCAGGCAACTGTTGGTGGCAGGACCTGGAGGAGGAAGGAGGGGAGAAAAGGCAGGAAAAACCTTCGGACCAGAGAGAAGGATCGAAAACCCAAAGTCACAATGGCCGCGTGGACAAAAACAGGTGGGATTTCTTTACGGGAATTCCTCAATTTACAAACGTGGCCACTCAAAGTTATAATGCCACTGAAAAAAGGTGACTCAGAATAGAATAGCAGAGATGGAAGGGACCTTGGAGGTCTTCTAGTCCAACCCCCCCCCTGCTTAGCTCTCTCTCTCTCTCTATATATATGTAGCTGCTCCGAGTCCTCACTTGATGGTCGCGTCCAGCTCCACTGCCTCCTCCCGAAGGCGCCTGGCTTCCTCCTGCATCTGCGAACGCTCCTGCTGCAGCTTGGCAATGTACTCCACCGTCTTCTGGAGGATCAGGGCGTGGCTGATCTGCGGGGGCCACCGAAAAAGAGGGTCCAGGCTGAGCTCAGGGGTGGGGTGGAGGGAGGGGCAGGGGGAAGGATACCACCCCCCCAGGCCTGAAATCATTCAGGGGGAAGGAGAAGGAAAGAGTGGGAGGGAAAGGAGGGAGGGAGGAAGGAAACGAAGGGGAGGATGGGTGGGTGGGTGGACAGAAGGAAGGAATAAGAACAAGGAGAGGATGGATGGATAGATAGAAGGGAGGGAGGGAGGGAGGAAGGGAGGGAGGGAGTCAACACCCCATAAAATCTTCATTTTGGCTGGTATTTGGAAGCAGCTCTTCCCAACACAGACCTTTGTTTGAAGGATGCAATGCCTGGCAGATATAAAGGAGGATGAGGAAGGAAGGAAGGAAGGAAGGAAGGAAGGAAGGAAGGAAGGAAGGAAGGAAGGAAGGAAGGAAAGAAAGAAAAGGAAGGAAAGAAAAGGAAGGAAAGAAAAGGAAGGAAGGGAAGGAAAGAAAAGGAAGGAAAGAAAAGGAAGGAACGAAAGAAGGGAAGGGAAGGAAAGGAAAGGAAAGGAAAGAAGGAGGAAAACTCTTTGGGGATTCCACCCCCCCCCAAGAACTGACTTACCGATTTAGAGTTTGGGGAGACCAGGCTGTTGAGGGTGCCAAAGCCAATCTTGATATTACACCTCCGCTTCTGCTCAGCCGAGATATGCTTCATTCTGCGACTCTGTGTCCATTAAAACAAAATCCCCCATCCCATTACTTTACTTTAACCTGGTTAAGACAGGTGGACTTCAACTCCCAGGATTCCACAGCTGGGCTTCCCTTTCCTCCCACCCATCTGTCTTGACTTTCATTTCATTTCACTATTTCATTTCATTTCAAAGCAGTCCTTGACTTTCATTTAGTCTCCATTCCCAGATCTTTAGAATCTAAAACCTTTGGAACCTTCCGCCACCACTCTTAATGGCAGAAAGTGAAGAGGAGAGTGCAAAAGTTGGCTTGAAGCTCAGCATTAAGAAAACTTAAGGTCATGGCATGCAGCCTTCTCAATTCCTGGCGAATAGATGGGGAAGACACAGAGGTAGGGACAGGTTTTATTTTCCTGGGCTCCAGGATCACCGCAGATGGGGACTACAGCCAAGAAATCAAAAGCCGCTTGCTCCTGGGAAGGAAAGTGATGGCAAATCTAGACAGCAAATCTAAGAAGCAGAGACCTCTGCAGGAAGCAAAGTCGTTCACTCTGTTCGGGTTCAACCTTGAAGTTCTGTGTGGATTTTGTACTCTGTCTGGCTTTTTACAGTTTATTTGGCACTTTCGTTGTTGGCAGCCATTCAAAGGAGAGAAAGGTGGGTGCTTATCTCGAGGGACTGTTTGGGACTCCTTACAGGCTGGGAATGAACGTTATTCCCAGCGTTGAAATAAAACAAGAGTTATTTGGACTAAGCATGTGCTTAATTATGGAACCTCAGGAAGCCTTGGTCAGAACAGAGGGGGCTGGATGGAGTCCCTGAAGCAAGTCGGCGTGAGCTTCAATGGACTCCGGAGGATGGTAGAGGACAGGAAGGCCCGGAGGAACGTGGTCCATGGGGTCGCGACGGGTCAGACACAACTTCGCAACTAACGACGACAAAGATTTCAACTCACCTTGAAGAAGGACACCTGAGGCTCAGGGGTTCCTTTCCTGGACCGGCTGCTCTGTGGGGACGGAGGGCCAAGGCCCTGCTCGGACGGGTGGGGAGAGGCCTGTCTGGACGGCTGGCAGTCTCGGACTTGGGAAGAGAAGAAACGACAACAACACACAGACACACACACACACACACACATAGCTCGTCAGCTAAGCCACAGCGGCACGAGAGATTTGATTTAATTGCTGCTTTACCTAGCCTGCCTTTTCCTGCAGAGTGAAAAGTGGCAGAAAAAGGACCAATCTCTCTTCACTGAAGTATGAAATCAGTCCCAACACCCACAATGCTTCATTTAGTGGCCGTTGGAAGTTACGAAAAAAAAAAGTGACTTAGGGTCGTTTTTCACACCTGCGACCGTTGTTAGTATCCCCCATGGTCGGATCGAAAATTCAGAGGCTTGGTAAACTGGTTCATATTTATGACGGTCACGGCGCTGCACCTGATTCCCCTTTTGCGACGCTCCTTGGCAAGCAAAATCAACGGAGGTGAAGCCAGATTCCCCTTAAGAACCGTGTGACTCACTGAACTGCACTGATTCACTTAACGACGGTGGCAAGGAAGGTTGTAAAATGGAGCAAAACCCACGGAACAACCGCCTTGCTTTGGTAAGAGAAATTGCGTCTTGCTTTGTAACGGAAGCTTTGGGCTGAACTGTGGTCATTAAGTCCGGGACCTGCTTGTATTAAACTGTGGCTATTGCGCTCAATACGCGAACTTGAATTTCGTTGTGTGTATGCTGTGTAGATACGTACAATGACAAGAAAGAATTCAGAATTCAATTCACGGTCCCTTTGTACGTGCTCAGGAGCTAAAAGACTTTAACCGTCTTTAAAAAGACTCTTTTAACCGTGACTCACTTAATAACCGTCATAAAGCAGGGCAGGATTCACTTAACAAAGGTCTCCCCTGGCAATAGAAATTGTGGTCTAGCTGTCAACTCATAAAATATTCCTATGGTCTTTTTAGAGTGGCCAACAGAAAGGGAGGAAGGGGGAGCAGTGCGGCAGCTTGGAAACCAAAAGTGCATTCCATAAATGTTTTCAAAATAGTAACTAGGCGACTGAAGTTTCTGCCGCGCAAAATTCTAACTGGAGAGCATGATTGATGACTCTGGGCTATGGAGGTGTCCCATTGGAGAATATAAATTAGGATACACTCAGGGGTAACAAAACTGCAATTGACCAGTGTTCTTCAACCTTCAGCTCTTTAAAAGGGGTGGACCTTCAGTTCCCAGAATTCCCCGGCCAGCAGAATTCTGGGAGTTGAAGTCCACCCCTCTTAAAGTGCTCATGCTTGAGAAACGCTGCCTTAAAGTATTAGAAATATATATTGATTGATTGATCATTAGCCTATAGGCCATATCGATGTACAGGTTCAAACACGTATTCCCAATACAATTCTAAACATACAATTTAAAATAGAGTAAGGTCAAATACAACAGTTATAGGATAAAATACAATAATTTGATCCCCCCCCCCGGAGGGTGGGGGAAAGCCAGGGTCGAGGGTGACGTTGAATTATGGGTCTCGGAGTCGGCTGCACCCAGGCAGTGCTGGACATGTTCACTCCCAATAAATCCTTTGGAAGTCTGGGAAGTTTGGCTCGAGACTCATCATTTAATTGGGGTTAAGCGCCACAGCCCTGAGACTACCTGCAGGGGGCCGGGAGCAGCCCCACCCAAGCCCACAGCCCCTCCTCACCTGCGGAAAGGAAGGCACTGTTCAACATCAAAGGCCCGGGCTCCGTAGGGGCGGGCGCAATCTGCTGGGGCTTCCTGGCCCGCGGCCCAGGGCCCGCCACGGGCAGGACGAAGGGAGTTAGCGCTTGCAGAAGAGTTTGCGGGTGGACCACCGTCGCCTGGAGAGTGGCCATCGCGCATGGCACCCCGCCACCGGGTTGCTGGGGGGCCAAGAGTCCCGCCGGGCCGTGGCTGAAGGTGGTGGCTGGCACGTTCTGCGTGGGGGTAGCCGAGGCGGTGTGGGTGATGACCGAAGGCTTGCCGGGATAGAATTTCGGAGCCGCCTCGGCCGGAGTGAAGAGCGGCACCTGCAGGGCCAGCTCCGGGTTCAAGGAGAGAAGGCTCTGCTGCGGCGGTTGGGACGGGACCTCCGCCTTGAGAGGCAGCCCCAGAGTCGGGAAGCGAGGCAGGAAGTGGGGCTGGCCGCTGCTCAGGGGTAGGTCGGAGGGGAAGCCGGGGCTCTGCAGGCAGGAGAGGTCCTCGCTCCTCAGGCCCAGGCACTGGTCAGTGGAGAGGATGGAGTCAGGCCCCGGAGGGGGCACCAGCTCTTCTCCCAGGTTCACCGTCGGAAGTGGGCTGCGTAAAGAGGCCGAGGAGAGGCTCGGGGCCTGAAAAGAGAAAGGCGGCCTGTTAAGGATCCCAGTAGATATAAATTCCCCGGCCAGCAGAATTCTGGGAGTTGAAGTCCACCCCTCTTAAAGTGCTCACGCTTGAGAAACGCTGCCTTAAAGTATTAGAAATATATACGTGTGTGTGTGTGTGTATGTATGTGTGTGTGTGTGTGTGTGTGTGTATATATATATATATATATATATATATATATATATATATATTGATCATTAGCCTATAGGCCATATCAACATATAGGTTCAAACACAATTACCAATACAATTCTAAATAATTTAAAATGAGAGTAAGGTAAAATACAACAGCTATAGGATAAAATACAATAATCTGATACATAAATATATAAAGCATAGGATAAAATATAATAATTTGATACATAAATATATAAATCAGAGGATAAAATGACATAAAATTATATTTATCACTCCTGCAGTCTACCCTTAAATCTACCCGGATTGACTAAACCGAGCCACTGAGTTCCAGCAACCATAGAGTCTGTTCTCTAGAGAAGCCAGACCCTGAGGAATTCTGGGAGTTGAAGTCAATTGGCCGAGGTTGAAAAATACTGCAATAAATAAAAGATGGAAAATTCATGCGGATTCGCGCAGAACTGAGGGGAAAACACTGGCTACCCTTAGTCAACTCGGACGTCCTGCCCCGCCTCATCCCTTTCTCACCTGGGGACAATGCTCGATGGCCCCCGCCAAAGAGGCACTGGATGTCAGGCTGGAGGTAGTGATGGCCGAAGAGGTGAAAGTATCTGGCCAAGACAGAAGGAAAAGAATCAGATCCTCATTTTATATTCCCTCTGCTCTTTTGGAACAAGCCAGCTCAGTCAGAAAGCACAAAATACCCATAGGTGCCAAACCTCAGCAGGCTGACCGGTGAATTATTTACATTTCAAATTTCTAGACTACAGACGCAAACTGCCCAGAAGATCATTGGGCTCCAGCTACCAGCCCTGGATGACATCTTCGCATCTCGCCGTTTGAGGAAGTTTGAAGAAGTTGCACAACATTCTCAGTGACTCTACCCATCCTGCTCACAATCTTTGTGAACTGCTGCCTTCTGGCAGAAGATAAGAACAATTAAAACTCGGACCACACGTTTCCTGAACAGTTTTTTATTCCAGAGCTATAATTGCACTTAACAATGAACTTAAGGACCAACCATCACTGAGCTGTTGGACAGTATTATTGGTCTGTTGTGGGGGTGCTTGTGTGTTTTTAGGAGGCGGGGAATTTTGGTGGGTGGTGGGGGGAGTGTTTGGGGATTGTCATGTGTGTGCACGTGTTGGGTCTGGTCTCTATGTGAATTTCACTGTATGTATCCTGTGTATATACATACAATGACAATAAAGAATTCAATTCAATGAACTATGGAGATTATTGAAATGAGATTAATATCAGTGTCTAGGATTAATTGGATAGATTAATTTATCTTTTCAAAACTATACGTAATTTTTATGAAATTAAAGGGGGAAAAGTACCATGTGGAATCTGATCTAAAAGGTATATATGTTATGTAGTTGTTAGAAGATTAATTTATTATTAATTTTCTAGGTAATAAAAGTTAAATGTTTATTGGGATTTAAAGGGGAGGCAATGAAAGAATAGGTAAGCTATGGGGTAGCACACTCAAATTAGTAATTGTGGGGGGAAATTCTTTTGAAATGTTGGCATTAATTTAGAATTTGTGGGATGATGAAATAAGAATATGCGATGAAATTGCAAATTTGACAGATAAAAGTACAAAAGTATAATGACTGTGAAGACAAGAGAGTTATTTGTGACACAAATAGGAGGAGAACACTTGGAAAAAATATAATAATAGAAAATATTTAAAGTTTTAGTAAGATATGAAGTTGAATGCGAAAGATGAATACATAATTATGGTCATATTTGTATGTAAAGGTGGAAACCTGGAATCACGCTGTTCACTAAAGAGATATTTTTAAAATGTGGAAAACTGAAATAAAATTTTATTTTTAAAAAAATGAAAAGAATTCAATTCAAATCAAATCACCCTGAGCCAAAATCCGGAGGAAGGGAGACCTGTTTTTAGCAAGGAAGTGAAGCAAAAACAGGCCAAGGAATTCTCACTTTAATTTTTCCTGATGGGAGAGTATTTGTAGCTGAGGGTTGAACTCTGGGGTGCTTGGTGGTCTCATAGCTTAGTAGTTTCCTTGAAACGTTTTGTTTTCTACGTTGGTAACACCTTCGGTGCACTGATGACATTATCTAGTTGGGTCACGAAACATCTGCAAGAAAACCAGTAAGCTCAGAGACCTCCCAGGACCCCACAATACTTCGTGACCGAGACAATATTTCAGCCAGTTCAATTCCACAGGGATCTTTATGCCGCTGCTGGCACAGATTGGCGAATCAGAACCGTGCGCGCTTACCTGAGAAAAACTCCCAAGTGTCCATCCAGTTGGGCTGCAGAGGGTAAAGTCCTGGCTGAATCATGTCGGCATTGCCCAGGTGCGCTAGAAACATGTGAAAAACCAAAACACAGATGTGTGGCGCACGAAGGAAGCAGGGCCAAAGTATGGAAACCATCTTTTTTTTCAGTGCCATTATAACTTCAGTGGTCACTAAATGAACTGTTGTAAATGGAGAATGATCTATATAGACTTGGGAGATATTTTGCGACAATTTTTGAGGATTGGGGTCATTTGCATCCTTTTAGAAAATCCTCGGGGCCACTTGTAGGTTCATCTCCAAGTGGCCTCAACCACCCTATCTCAAAGGATGCCTCAACCACCCTATCTTCAAGTGGCCTCAACCACCCTATCTCAAAGGATGCCTCAACCACCCTATCTCCAAGTGGCCTCAACCACCCTATCTCAAAGGATGCCTCAACCACCCTATCTTCAAGTGGCCTCAACCACCCTATCTCAAAGGATGCAAGGGACCAGCTGTCTGCAAGGAATATAAACCCTTCCGTTCCCAAAGCTTGAAGAAGCTTCTTGGATGAGAAGCGAAATGTCAAAGGAAACAACAACAACAACAACAACAAGGAAGTCCAGTTGCCTCCTGAATAAAAACTCCTTTGGGACTGGCAGCCACTAGCAAAGCTCTACCTCTATCCTTTGAACTTGGCCAGGTGACCAGCTGGTGACTAGACAGGGTGGAGAAGAGGGTGTCTGAAGATCCGGACATGTAATCGTCCGTGGTGAAGAACTCTTCCAGTTCCATGGGGCTGTCTTTCTTGAAGAAGCCATCGTCCTGCGGGGTGAGAGGGAGGGGAAAGGACAGGAAAAGGTGAATTGGAGGAACTGGGGGTGGGGTGTCCTGCAGGACAGGGGACAGTCGCCGCTCCTCAGAGGAGAGAAAGGAGACTGAAAACTAATTCCAGGGCTAAGTTTGGTTTTGATCTTTTACAACAGGAGCGTCCCAACTTTGAGACTTGTGGGCTTCAACTCCCAGCATTCCCCAGCTAGCATGGAATCCTCCCCGGTCAGGAATTCTGGGAGTTGAAATCCACAAGTCTCAAAAATTGCCAAAGTATCCAAGACAGATGGCTTGGATACCTACTTAGGAGTAGACTTAAATTAGAACATGGCTGCAAGAAATTAATGGATCCCAAATAGAATGTAAGCCTGAAGTGTTTTTTGCCAGGGATAGAGGAACATTTTAAAAAGAAATCGAATACCTCATTGTACACATCCTAACTGCAACAAGAATAATTGATGCTCAAAATTGGAAACTAGATAGCACTCCTACAGACATCATGATCTTAAAGAAAACTATGGATTGTGAGGAAATGGCAAAACTCACGTTTGAATTACAAGAAAGGGAAGAGAAGGAATACTATAAAGTCTGGAAAAAATGGTATGATTGGTTGGATGATAGGATAGTAAGAATAAAAGAAAAGCAGTATAAATAAACAAATATATATATACATATATAGTAGATAGTTAACAAAACAAAGGAAGTAGATGTCACAACACTGCAAAAATTGTATTTGTGTTCTGTTATTTTATATTTGTGTTGTTTTTAACTGTGTAAAAATCAATTTAGAAAAGGAATAGACTTAAATCATGAACATCCTGGCTACCCACTGGAACGGAAAAGAGAACCAGCCAAGAGTCAAAAGAAGAGCATTAAGTGCTCCATTCAAACAATAAAGAGGTTTATTGGATTCTTTGGCTCATTACGGTAGACTTCATCCTCCCTCCTCCCTCCAATTTTGCTCTTTTATAAAACCTCCAGCTTCCAGAGTGCTCTACCTGAGCATTCAGGAGGAGCAGATCCTGTATTCAATCCATTAGAGATAAAAGCTGGGCTTTTTTTTTTCAGTCTTACGCTCATTGAAAAACTTAGGGAGGTTGAACCGAAAAAGCGATAGCCAAAAAAATAATGTTTACCTGGACCAAACTGGATAGGTCTTCATCTTTGTGCTTTTGTAACTGGAAAACAAAAGAAGGAAATGGAAATAATTGAAAATGAAACAGAAACTAAAAGAAGAGAAGGAAGGAACGGAGGTTGAAATTTTCCAACCGTGAAAAGAATTCAAAACATCCATTTTATGGAATTCCAATTGATTTAGTACAGGGCTATCAGCCACAGCCAATACCCCAAATTTATGCAGACCAGATACAAAACAAGACCAGCTATTCTTGTGCCTTGAAGACCCTTCCTCCCAAAATATTACTCTATTATCCGCTGTTTGATTAAGCTGCCTGATTTGAGCCTGGCCTGTTTGTTTGACAAGAGAATCAACTCAGTTAGTGTGGCCTCTAGCTGGGAATTCAACTATCTGAAGTCCCAACCCAGCAGACAGGGGAAAGTTAGAAGATGCTATGTCAGAAGGTCAGCTTGTATTGTTGCAAAGGGTAAAGTTTTCCGACTCTGTTCAACTCCTTGACGAGCTGAGCTCAGAAGGCAATTCCCTGGCAAAACGGAATTATTTTTACCCAAAATGTCAACCATTCAAAAACTAAAGAAGACATACTCTTTTCTTGAAGTACGTTCGCCACTTGTGATATTCTCGGATGACTATGTCAATACGCCTCCTCCAATATTTCTCATTTGTTCTGCTACCCTAAAAGGAAAAGAAGAAATAGGGTAGGAACAGGAGATATCAAAGTAATTTCAGATAAGTCAACTCAACTCAATCAAATAGAACCTACTCAACCCAACCCAACCCAACCCAACCGAATGCAACCAACTCAACTCAACCCAACCCAACGCAACCAACTCAACCCAATCCACTCAACCCAATGCAACCAACTCAACTCAACACAACACAACCAAATGCAACCAGCTCAATTCTTTACCAGCTTAAGGTGGAAGTCTAAGATCACTTGTATCGTCCATGGATGTCTCCCCACAAACTCCCCCCCCCCCCCGGAAATCCCAAATGGCAGAGTCTCAGGAAGGAAGCAACTAAAGGCCATGAAGCTGAGCGCACCACTGGTTCAGAAGGAGGGGGATCGGGACAAGCGGCTCCCGTGTGCCCACCTGGTCTACCTGAGGAACATCCACAGAACCATCCAGAGGGGTCACAAAATTGCACACGGGGTTCTTCCTCTTCTCTAGATCTGAAAGAGAGCAAGAGGATTTGCCAGGTGGGGTCCTGGTGGGCACGCCTGATATTTCCAACTTCAGGCATTCTCTTCCATAGGATTTAATAATGCATGCCTCTCCTAGTCATTTTTTAAAAACAGTATTAGAACAAGAATAAAGCTTCCACAAAAAGCAATCCAGGACCAGAAAGATGATGCCCAGGGAAGGAAGTGAGCCAGAAAGAGAGGCCAACTACAGTTCTCCTGGAATCCAAGCAAAAACAGACTTGGAGATCGCTTCTCCTTCTGATCAACTGAGGGAGACTGTTTTCCTTTCCTACAAATTCTTCCCAGGGTTCTGACCACAGATTAAGATTTAGTTCCTTCCAGGTATATTAAAGGATAATGTTTTACCAGTCCTCCCCTTTGCTGTTTGCAAAACCAGGTTTAAAAATCCCCTTCTCTTGCAGGAAAGAAGCGAACGACAGCGGTTTGGAAATAACTGGACCCTTTCTGGCCCTAACCGGGACACGGAAGGCGGCTCGTTTTAAGAGCTCTCCCGGGACAACGTTGCGCCTTACTCACACTGGATGTACCAAGCCCTCCAGATGGCATTGTTGAGTCGTATTTTGTCTCGACACAATAACTTCAGCCCTTTGAAATTCTTCCACTTGGGGGAAACCAAGGTCCCGCTGTAACAAAACAGAACAGATCTGCATGAAGACAAAGACAAGTCACTAGCTCTGAAGTCTGCCCTCCCTAAACCTTCGAAAGAAATCGCAAAGGGCTGTTTCCCACTTTTGGAACACCCAGAGATGATCCCTTTTTGGAATTAAGTCACATTTTCTTCAACCATTGGGAGGTATTCTGAAGCTTGAGCCTGTTTTAAGAAGGGGGAGGGGGGGAAATAAGCATTTATGGTTTGGAAATGGAAATAAAAAACCTGCAGCTTTCATCAAGAAAAAGAATTGTGCTACCGAGTTGTTCAAATGTGGACAGCAATTATTTTCAGATTATTTGGATTTGAGCCAAATGAGGGTTTCTCACCCTTCGCAAGAGCCTTGGTGTGGACTTCAACTCCCAGAATTCTCTAGCCAGCATGGGTGGACTTCAAACTCCAAGCAAGCTGGCTGGGGAATTCTGGGAGTTGAAGTCCATACCTCTTAAAGCTGCCCAGGGGGAGAAACCCTGTTCTAGATCCTGAAAAATCAGGAAGGTACTTCTCTTTCCAAGCTTTTGTCCAGCAGGTAGGCTGGAAAAGCAACCCCCAAAATTCTCCAGGTAACGTGGCCAAAGGAATTCTGAGCTAGATGTTCCCCAAGGTGGGAATGTGCATGCTTGGGAAGGGCCGTAACGTCCCTCCTTCTCCTACCCCAACAGACCCCATCAATTCCCACTTTTAATTCAACCCTCCCGGTTTGGTTTTCTTGGCTGTCCCCCAGTTCACCAGCTCCCCCAACTAACCCCACCCCATTGCTCTCTTCTGGGTTTTGCTGCCAGCTCCTTCGCCCGCCTGCTCCTCTCTTTAATGACATTATTCCTGAAATAATCCTGTAAGGACTCAGAGGCGTGACGGGGTTTAAGTCTAGACAGGGCGGGCATGACAGCTGCCTCCACTTCTGTTCCATCGCTCCGGCACAAAATCTCCTTTGAAGCTTGCAGGGTGGAATAGGGGTGCTATCCGGGGGTTGCTCAGCCCAGGCTTTGGAAAATGGACAACGCATGAAAAGAAAACTGACTGCCAGGGTCCCATTATTTACTTCAAAAGCTACGCGCCTTCCCTTTCCTCCTGGATGGTAAACACCCCTTGCTAGAAATCTTTCCCAGGGTCAAGGCCTAAACCAGAACCAGGGCGTGGCCTCCATACCCAAAATAAGCAATATATTTTTGGCTCCTATTTACAATTCCTCCCAGGTTACTGTGTACGGTACGGATTAAAGGTAAAGGTTCCCCTCGCACTTGCGTGGTAGTCGTTTCCGGCTCTAGGGGGCGCTGCTCATCTCCGCCACAAAGCCGAAGAAGAGCCAGCGCTGTCCGAAGACGTCTCCGTGGTCACGTGGCTGGCAGGACTAAACGCCTTCGAAGGCGCACAAAACGCTGTTCCCTTCCCACCAAAGAGGTCCCTATTTTTCTACTTGCATTTTTTTACGTGCTTTTGAACTGTTAGGTTGGCAGAAGCTGGGACAAGGAACGGGAGCTCACTCCATGACGCGGCGCTGGGGATTCGAACCGCCGAACTGCCGACTTTTTCTGATCGACAAGCTCAGCGTCTCTTAGCCACCGTACAGATTAAGAGAAGCCTAATTTCTCTTCCGGGGAAGCAGACGTACGAATCCAGCTCCTCCTAAGCCAAGACTAACCACCTTTCTTCAAGCAAACGTTTCATCAGTAAAAAGGCGAAAAAGGGCCTCTGAAGGTCTTCTAGTCCAACCCCCTCCAGGCCATTCTGAGCAAAGGAAATCAGATCGGAGGGCGACTGGAGGGCCAGGATGGAGTTGGAAGGTGGAGAAGGAGCCATGGGTGGGGCTTACAATTGTTCCCACATAAAGTTTGCGACCACCGAGTTCCTGGGAAACCGAGTAAATCGTGGGCAAGATTTAGCAGCAAGAGACGAATCATCCAAGCCCTTTTAGGTTTAACATTCAGGGTTTGTGGCAATTCTGGGTGGATTCCACATTCGAAGAGGGCTTGTGTGTGCAGTTCTGCAAAACAATCACGGCCCAATTTTTCATTAGTCGACCCTCTCCGACTGGAGGAAAGGAAGCTGGAGAAGGCCGGCGGCTTCGTGACCCGAGGAGATGTTTCTGACATACGACAGGTGGAGAAACCTGACACCGGTTTCTGTCACTGAGGGGTTACGTCAGGTCCTCTATACAAGCTGACGGCCTATAAATACATCAAAGGCAAGGGAGGATCTGGTTCAAATGGTCTGGAGAAGCAGCAGCTCACCTCTCACACACTGCCGCAAAGTCTCTCTGGGTTGAGCAAGAAGCCAATAATAGGGTGGCAATTCATGAAGAGAGGGGGCTCCAAGCCATCCCTCCACTGGTTTCTTCCCTGTCTTTATCCAGTGTTAAAGCCCCCCCCCCCTTATGACCTGTGGACTTCAACTCCCAGAATCCCTCAGCCAGAAATTCTGGGAGTTGAAGTCCGCAGGTTGTAAAGGGGGCCACAGTTGCCCAGCTCTGCTTTAACAGATCTCAATTACTTAATTAATTAATTAATCTGTTAAACCAGAAGTTAATTAATTAATTTCAATTCACATATCTCATCTGTTCTTCTACCTTTTCTTATTGGTATCATTGTTAGGATTATTATTACTTTGCTGTTTTGCATGTACACTGACAGGTTATGTACCAGAGACAAAATCCTTAGATCTAACTATCATCTATCTATCTATCTATCTATCTATCTATCTATCTATCTAT